TGCAAAAGCCTCTAAGTGCCGTCTGAAATTTTCATCTAAAATGAGCATTTTTATCAGGCTGCTATGTTTAGGTTCAGTTATTTTATTCTAATTGCAATGTATAGGTAATTTTCTATACAATTAATGTGAAAAAACTGAACATAAATATAGGGGCCTGATAAAAATTCTCATTTTAGAAGAAAATTTCAGATGGCATTTAGAGGGTTTTGCATCTGAACTGTTCATTTATATATATATATATATATATATATATATATATATATATATATATATATCATTCATTATTTTTATATATTTGGACTCACTGACAATCATCTCATCTCAAATGTCTGAGGAATCTGTATGTCGTACTGCCCATTGAGAGAAATCAAGGTTGGAAGAACTGAAATGAAGAATTGTGAAAAATAACATTATGTAGTCTTGATTTGCCTCTCGCTTTGAGTCTCTTTCTGAATCAACTCCAACTTCCTTAAAAGTATTGTGCCCTCATTTAGACAAATCCAGGGACAAACCCAACAGTGACTCACCAACAACACAAAGAATACAACCAGTTCAGAGTGATGCAAAAACACAGTGAATGTGAAGAGATCAGTTTACATGCAACGCAAAGGCCAGTGATTAAATTGGACCAGAACCTTTTGATTTAAGTAAAGGATAAAATTATTGTCAGTTTGCTGTCCATTCATTCAATCCATTTCCTGTATACTCCAGTGCAGATTTAGTTTGAACCAGTATACACATTCCATTACCTCACAAGCGTGTACATGCTTTATGAATTAAAATGCATTACATTAAAAGGTTAGTTCACCAAAAAATGAAAATTAGCCCATAAATTACTCACCCTCAAGTCATCCTAGATGTATATGACTTTCTTCTTTCAGACGGAGTTATTTAAAAATTTGTCTTTGATCTTTCATGCTGTTTAATGCCACTCAGCTGGTGTTGCATGCATCAGTCCAAAAGAAGTTAAATAAAAAGTGCCCATCCATAAAAAAAGCCCTGGAGGTATTCCCCATGTCCCAATCCTGCACCAGCCTCCAGGGTGCCCACCCCCCTTCCAGGAGGGGGGAGTAATGTCAGACTCTGTTCCGTGTCTGTGTGTGTTTTCTTCCCCCACGTGCTCCAGGTTATGTTTATTTCCTTATTTGGCTTCCTGTTCCTTTCCTGATTGTGTTATCATTTGTTCCAGGTGTTCCCCGTTCTGTTCCATTGTTCCCAGGTGTGTCCCATTAGTTTCAGTGTATTTAAAGTGTTTTCTGCCCCTCGTTGCCCGTCCCGGTATTGATCGTCAATCTCCATGTCCTACGTGTTATTCCTGTGGTGTCAATGTCAATAAAGGCTGTGTATCCTGATTCTCCAGCATTCCCCTCGTTCCTTGTTCCTCGCTCCACACCGTAGGCGCACAGTGACACTTATGGGGAAAATGAATGGTTATGTTGTTGCATTTCTTTTAATACTCATTACATCTTTCCAATATACTTTAGTATCTGAGCTTCTTTCAAAAAGTAAAAATTGGTTAATAAAAGAAAAAAATCAGCTTTATTATAATTAACCAAAACCATAAAAATGCATTTGTGGTATTTGAAATAAAATAAACTGAAAAATAAAATAAAATATAAAAATACTTGCAATTATTTCATTTCAGCTAGTTGGTAAGGCCACATTTCTCATTTTCATTTAGTTTACCTTGATTTACTAAAATAACCAGATCTGAAATAAAAATTATAGATAAAAAAAGATAATACAAATGACTGAACAAAAATAACAACAAAATTACTAAAACTTCAACTAAAATATAAATAGAAAATGTAAAGATAAAAACGAATTCAAAATATGAATAAAAACTACAATAGTATTAAAAAAAATATTCTAAAATAAAATAACACTGCTTCACAAAATTAACTTTGAGATTGGTCTGTTTTTATAAATACTGCCATCTAATGGTGGCTCATTAATGCAGTTTTTAGACTTGAATTTGCAGTCATGTATCCACCAGTATCTCCCCCCACAGAACTACATATAATTATGATTTTGATAGCAATATTGTAACTAAAGTTAGATTTTATCATGGTCCCTTGAATTGCAGGCAGCTGCTGAGACAGAGGTGGACGACCTGGAGCATCGAAGCATGTGGGAGGAAGGTCGCGCTGATTATATGGGCAAAGACGCTTTTAACAACATCATGAGGAAACATGACCTGTTCCTTTATTAATTTTGTGTGTATGTGCTGGATGTGTTTATGAGATTATGTAAAAGACTGTCAATATATAGTTCCGTTTATACTGTATGCCTATCATCATCTCAACTGTTACATTTTCACCTCCTCATATATAGCTTTTTTTCTACCTCTGATTCACTCTACCTTTCTACCTATTTGCCACAATCACTGGATCATATCAAAAATGCTATGAAAAATGTCTCATATACAAACAATCTTGTAATTTAGTTTCTGTATTATAAGTCTATATGTGATAAGATCTTTCTGTATGATTTAGCCTTTGCTGTGATCTTTTGTTTGCAGTTTTTGTAAAGCATTGACTGTAAATATTCTCTATAGCTTGTTAGGGGAGACATTATGAATTACCATTACAAATCAATTAAAGTATTAATCAATTAGTATTAAATCATGAGAAAAGAATCAAGAGCATGATTTAGTAGTTGTCAATGTCCAACAAAAATCATGTAACAAATCATTCAACCAAGAGGAAATGTGCCTAACAAACTATAGTCTTCAACAGGTCTTTCTTTGCAGTGCCCTAGAGCAAAATTGTCATATTTTTGCCACTAGAGGTCAGGCTATAAACACTCTCTAGCTTTTACACCCCCACAAACTCCACTGGTAGAGCATAACAGTCTGAGGCAAAATTGTCATCTATCAAAAGGTGATAAATCATAAAGGATTATTCCTGGGAGTTTTATAAAACATAATTATCTCTCTCCAGAGATGCTTAACACAACCCTGTCTCCAACTCTTATCTGCCAGACACCACAAACTTTTATGGTAAGCAAACTTAGTGGCCAGACAAAGTCAAAGACATCAGCATGTTCTATGATGGAACCAAATTTTGTTAAACCCTTGTTTTAATATTAGATCAATTTATTACCCTCTGGATCTGCCCTGTTAACATGACAGCTCTTTGAAGTCATTAACTATTTATACTTATGTTACTCAGTCATTTAGAGAGCATCTTTCATTTGATTTGGTTCAATAAATCATGCCAGTCACAGTATATTGAGGTCTTCCCTTCTGAATGATCTTTCTCTCTTCATATGTTCTAAACTGAGCACAAGAGAGATCTGATTGCATTCTGATTCACTCTAAATATGTGTATTTATTTTTAACCATTACTGTAGTAAAACAATATCAATAAAAATTAAATATCATATATAAATTATATAAGTTCTGACAATACAACAGCCGTTTTCACATCCCCAGGTTTGGATTGTGAATGCATAGCAGGGTACACTTTTGTAAACGTAATTATAGCAAATATAAATTTTGCATTCCACTTGCTTCAACAGTGAGTGAGAGAGAGAGAGAGAGAGAGAGAGAGAGAGAGAGAGAGAGAGAGAGAGAGACCTTTTTTATCATCTC